GGCTGATCTAAGTCAGGACATGGCTAACTCACAGATAGAACCCTGAAACAACCTCTGGGCTGATCTAAGTCAGGGCATGGCTAACTCACAGACTGAATTGCAATTTATCATTTTGGGTTTTGTGGAGGGAGGACAACCAGACAACCTACATGTAGACAAATCAAGGTCTACACCCCAAAACTCTACTCAAATGTAAAGCTGTGTTCCAAGAATCAAACCCAATCTGTAACCCAGAAGTGTGCAGAGAGAGCACACTACTSCTGTACCACCCTTGATTACCTACACAAACATGTTACTCTCTATCAACAAACAGTTTTGTACTGATGGTGATAATAATGATGATGATGATAATAATAATAATATTTATTTAGGCATGATAAGTTTTACAGCATTGCTGATATGGTCGTGTGTTATCGTTGGTTGTTTTGATCGCTAAAAATGAGAAATTTTTTTTGTTTTTGTTATCGGCTACGCCTCGTAGATCCACAATACTTTGACAATGTGATGACGCAATTTATCCTCAATGAGAGGACAGACACATAAAAACTGATGTCAATTTGTTAATTAGAYCTCATTTAATTCATTGATTCCTTGCCATATTTCTCCCAGGTGCACCTTAAGATGGGAGAYTTTTTACTTGCTAGAAGAACGTTGAAGAAAGCTTACAAGATTTCTCCGTCACAAGCAGGTGCTGAAATGGAGGGCCTGAAATCTAACCTGGTGGCTGGTGAGTATCAATGTCAATGCCGTCATGTGCAATCAACCAGAGAGTATTCTATTTTGGGTAGCATGGGTGGCATACATGGCTAACGCATCACCTTTCTAGTATGTGTGAGTGAAAAGTGTCCCCAATTAGTGCGAAAGTGCTAGAACGACTAGACACTTAAATAAAAGTGATTTATTTTATTGCTTGATATGAATCGGCTGAATGAATCTCATGAATCTCATTACCAGCCTACAATGACAGGCAAACACTGCCCACCATGTGCTATTAACCAGAGAGTATTCTATTGCTTGGTATCAATCAGCTGAATGAATCTCATGAATATCATTACCAACCTACATTGACAGGCAAACACTGCCCGTCATGTGCTATCAACCAGAGAGTATTCTATTGCTTGGTATCAATCACTAATTGAATAAATCTCATGAATMTCATTACCAGCCTACAATGACAGGCAAACACTGCCCGTCATGTGCTATCAACAAGAGAATATTCTATTGCTAGGTATCAATCAGCTGAATGAATCTCATGAATCTCATTATCAGCGTACAATGACAGGCAAACACTGCCCGTCATGTGCTATCAACAAGAGAGTATTCTATTGCTTGGTATCAATCAGCTGAATGAATCTCATGAATCTCTTTACCAGCCTACAATGACAGGCAAACACTGCCCATCATGTGCTATCAACAAGAGAGTATTCTATTGCTTGGTATCAATCAGCTGAATAAATCTCATTACCAGCCTACAATGACAGGCAAACACTGCCCGTCATGTGCTATCAACCAGAGAGTATTCTATTGCTTGGTATCAATCAGTTGAATGAATCTCATGAATCTCTTTACCAGCCTACAATGACA